ATGTAGAAATCTTGCACTACCTCCAATTCAGGGAACTGCATAATCAGCTGCCGGCATACCCCTGCATATCAAACCTTATAACCATCCCCAACCGTGACAACGTGCACCTGGGTTCTTTCTACAGGTAGCTCAAGCTCCTCCGCCACTTGTGCATGCAAAAAGTTGTGCAAAGCCCCTGAATCTACAAGCACAACAACCATTTCTTGAATATTTTGGCGATACCCTTTTACCCATCTGTACGCAGAAGGTCCTCATCATCAGGTTGATCTCCGTAGCTTCCCACTACCAATAACATGACATGAAGTTGCGGGTTGGGCACACATACCTAAAGCAGAGATTTCGTCGCCGGCGGTCTGCCTTTTCTTCTGCTGTCAGCTGCAGGTAATGCATGCCACGTTTGTCGACGTTATTGCTGTTGGTCATCGAAGCCGTTGTCGTGGCTATAGACCCTGGCCCCTCTCCATATTTGACGATAATGTGCCCTAAGTTCAAGTTCGAATTAGTGGTCTCTGTTTGAACTCCTTCATTTCTGTTTTGCCCATGATTATTAAGCCAATTACGTGATCCAACATTCCCACACCCACCTCCTTCATTATTCAGGTTATTGGAGCGGCTGGTAAGGGCAACTCGAGTGTGGTGACTTGATCCGAGCCCATTGGCATTCGATTCGCTGCGGCCCAAGTTGTTCATCGTCTTCCCCAACACCAACACCATCTCTTTCTCTTCTCCTCCTTCATGTTTGTAGCACGATGGAACCTCACTTCAGCTATAATCTCTTCCTAACCCATTCAGAAATGCATCCTTCATCACCTCCTCGTGAGCATCCCTCAATGGTACTGCCAACATTCAAAATTCTCCTGATATTCCAAAACTGATCCACTTGCCTCAAGCACATAAGCGCTTCAAATGGATTGCCAGAAGAGGATGTATGAAATCTCTGCAATAAGGCGATGCGAAATTGCTCCCTATTAATGGCCGGATTCCTTGACTCCCACCATTGAAACCAGTTTAATACCCTTCCCTCCATACAAATTGACGTCGCTTCGATCTGTTCCTTTGGAGGGATTTGATTAATTCTGAAGTACCTCTCCACACAATAAATCCACCTGTACGGGTCATCCCCTGCGAAATATGGGACTTCCGGCCTTCTAATACGATCCTCGTCCTTTATGAAGCCACCATATTTGTTTACCCGCAATTCATCCCCTCTGTCGTTACCTCTAGAATGTCCTCCAGTACCACTTCCATTGTCTCGCTGATCAACTCTATCCAAATATGCAAGAATCGTCTCACAGAGCTGATGCATCTCCGTATACAACTCCTCCATTCTTCCTTCCAGCTGTGATGTTCTCCTCTCTATATTTTCCACTCGTCTTTCCATTGTTGTCTGAACCATCCAACGCTAAGGATCAGGAGCTTTGATATTAAATGATGCAACGATAATGAATTTACTATAGAATATTGTAAACTGATATATGTATTCAATGGAAAACTCTCCGTGACAACACGTTATAGATTAAAAACAGTAAAAATGGTTAAAACAAACTTAAGAGAAAACACAAATGATACCCAGAGGGCTCCTCAACACCTCTCCCTTACCCATTACCACATTCTTCACAAATTGCCGAACTCCCTTCCACTCGCTCACTCTCTTTTCTATAGTAACTAACTTCCGCCATTCTGTTACATGCAATAATTATCTCCTATATCCCTGCTTAATGTTACTATTCTGCAACCAGACCACTCTCAATAATCTTCTGCGTACTTGGGCTCGACTCTTATTTGTCACTAAGTCTGCTGTTAGCTCATTTGCTTGGTCAGATATTTGTCCATTCACTCCAACCCCCATCCCCTTCTTCTTTCTACTATGAACATTCTTGTGAGTTCCATCACATATGCCCAGTTTATGGTCCTTCCACCAGTAATAAACCCATTGCCCACTTGCTCGTTTAGGGCTCTGACTTTGAACCTCCTCTTTGCAACACGCTGAGTCAAGGTCATCATTATCCTCCCAAGATCAGTTAAGTCATGGAATTGTATTTTTTGCCCGAATTTCTTCTCTCAACCCGTTGAGGAATGCCATCTGCATTATTTCTTCATCAGTGTGTCTGAGTGGTGTTGAAGGAGCTCAAAGCTTTCCTTGTATTCAGCAACGGTTCCATTCTAGCGAAGGCACATTAGTGCCTTGTAAGGGTTTCTGGAGGAAGAGGAATGAAAATGATGCAAAAATTGTTGATTGAAAATTAGCTCATGTAATTGTGGGATTTCTCTACTCCCACCACTGAAACCAATTTAAAGCCCTCCCTTCCAAGCAAATCAAGGCTGTCTCAACTTGCTCCCTTGCTAGAATTCTGTTGTGTTCAACTCCATGAGCGTTGTGTTCAATTGACGAACAAATAGTTCAACTTCTCCCAAGCACCCATGAATGCATTATGTACGATTCTCAATTTCTCCCAACCTCTCCCCAATCTATTCTACTCGTCTCGTGTCACCATTCTTAACTGAACCATTCAGAGCTCTCACAGGTTTAAGTGCTTCGATACCAATTAATGGCACCAAGAAACAGAAGATATATATCTCTAGAAAAATATTGGGGAAGTGTACCCTTACGGCAAAGACTCTTAACAACTCAGTAATGAAACTCTTAAGGCCTCTGGTCAAGGAAATTCAATGACCTATGTTGAGAAAATACAAGACATTACAATGGTAGGAAGAAACAAAAAAGCACCAAATACCCAACTTTTCAACAATGAAATCACATTAATCCTCAGTGATTCTGAATTGATGAGAGTATGAAAGTATGGATCTGTTTTCCGTAAAGGTGAAGTATGCTTATCTTAGGGAGACAATGGAGACTTTGGTATGGACCAAAGCTCTGTAGAGTCAATGTACTGGCCTCAGACTAGCTGAGGGTGGAAGGGGGAGGTGTAATTGAGCTATGGTTATGGCTTGAGGAGAGATTTCAGCACAATAATAGCAATAGCAAGCAAATGGAGAAAATGGGGACATGAGAGAGCAAAGGTCCCTTTATATTGGGTGTTGGAGATTCCCTCCTAGTTCGCAAAGTGTGACGCCATAACTGTTTCCTGCCTTATGGGCCCAACTAAGTGTGAGGTTGTGTGACCTTTAATATTTAAAGGTCACTCGTGCATGGGAAGTGTGAGGGGACATATGTAGAAGAGAGTAATGTGCTCCTCGTGCTAAATAAAGGTTGCCTTGCCGGGCGGCCATATAGGCATGTTGGGCAAGGCCATCCAGCCAGACTAGAATAGGTTCCCCTTCCCAAAATTCTACTTAATTCTCTAATCCCCTCCCATCCTCTCCCTCTTTGTAACTAACTTCTCATTGCCTTCCCTTCCCACATTCTCTTCACCATTTAGTGCTTGCCACGTGGAATTTCTTTTAACAACCTTCTTCCCTTCCTTTTTCGTTACTCCCTTGTTGTTATCACTATTGGCCTTAGTTGGCTCTTTGGGCTGATCATCTTGGGCCTTACTCTTCTTCCACTTTTTACGTTTATAGACCAATTTTAGTGGTCCATCATAATTATTTCGTGAGTTAAAAGTTTTGAAATATTGATCATATGAAGCTATATCAAGTTGTTTTACATGTTGCATCAAATTTGGTCATCCATGAGAGGACAAAACATATAGAAATTGATTGTCATTTTACCAATCACCATTGAATTTGTTAATTCTTGTAATCAGCTTGTTGATATTTCAAAAGTCGTTATAGGACGCTTTAGTTTGAGGGGGTGTAGGAAAGTATATCCTATTTAAGGAAATACTTCCTGTGTCTCCTATTTATGGACTATATTAACTGTAAATAATTAAAGTTTGATTTGTATTATTTTCATTAATTTTCTAGTTTTGAAGTTGCCTTATTTTCCTAGTATTAGAGATTGTAAATCATGCTTAAAGCAGAAGGTTTTGCTGATGATTTCCTCAAGCTATTCAGAAATATAATGAGGCTATACAATAAATCTATTTACATGATTTGGTTAGCCTATACAATAAATCTAGACATCACTAATATAATGAGGCTATTAGACAATTCAGGGGTGCCTGAGTGGTATTTTTGCTCGTTTAGTATGCGATTGAAACTATTTTCCGATGGGGGCCGTTTAGTTATGAGCCATGCCCTTCACGAAAATGCTTTTATATTTTTTTTAATCAATTCCGCGGACTCCCCGTGGAACTCACATTGTGCCATGTGGCATGATCTCAACTATCCAATTTCATTCTTGATTCGTGTTGACCTTGGTCGACCTTTGGGACGCAGTGATGCCAGACTAGGACAAAAAATGGGACCTTCTGCAGGTGGAATATAATCTTCATCTCCAATGGGGCACCATTCTACCAAATACGCATGACAATGTATTATAGTGAGTAGACCGGATCCACTGATTTATAGAAGTCGACTTGTCGGAACGTACACACGGCAATGACACGAGAGCTTGGATTCTGTAGTGCAATTAAACTTCCACATTTACAATCGGGTTTGCTCAAATTGACCGAAACAACATGACCATCTGTCCGTGTAAAATAATTGAAAGCCTTTTCAATCAGGTTATTTTGCATTGTATCAAGCACCACCTTACCATAATGATTGCCTGTGTTTATTTCTTGACAAGCGTTGTTTCCTCTCATAACAAAGTACTCATTTGAGTTGTGCCATGTGGCACTATTTGTGAGTTCCGGGAGGGTTCGCAGAACTTGAAGTGGGAAATAAAAACAATTAATGAGTTCCCCATAGGGGATCCGCGGAACTCGTTATAAAAAAATATAAAAAAATTTTCGTGGGGGGGCATGGAACTTATCGCCCCCCACCGGAAAATGGTTTCAATCTCGTACGAAACGGGCAAAAATACTATTCAGGCACCTCTCAATGGTCAAATAGCCAGTATAATGAACCTAGACACTAATTACGTTACCAACACATGTGAAATATCAATCAATGTTAAAAGGCAATGATATTTGCTTTTTCTTTATTGGTTGCAGTAACATTTGCCTTTGAAAATCTGTGTGCTCTGTCCCTGTATAATATGGAACTTGAAGACAGGAATAAGGGCACTGAGAATCCTCCAGAAGAGTCTTCTAATCCTCAATCATCAGAAAAAGATGATAGCAAGAAGGATACAAATCATGCTGGTTCAAGCAATCTGGAGTTGAGTGACAAGAATACTCCACAATCACTGAAGGCCAAATCTAAAATCATTAAGAAACGTAAGGCTGGCAAGTTTAAGACCGTAGTAAATAAAGGTTCTCAACAGATTGGGGAAAAGAAAAGGAATAGGAAGAACATAAAAGTAGTGGACAATACTGATGAAAATGAGGAGGCTAAAAAGAATAAAGAGAAGGAAAGTCAAAATGGGAGCACTAGTGTCAAAAGAAATAGGAAGAACATAAAAGTAATGGGCAATAGGGATGAAGTGTCTAAAGAGAAGGTTGAGAAGGCTGAAAAGAATGAAGAGAAAGAAAGTCAAAAGGGGAACACTAGTGACAAAGGTCCAATCGGGAAGAGCCATCGGGTTCAAAAAAATAAGATCGTGAGGTTGGGTAAGAGTGAACAAAAACAGAAGAATAAAGAGAAGCATAGGGAGCCAAACAAGGGTGCCCAGAGTAGAACAAACAAAGCTGAGCATAGTGGCATGGGGAATACTGAATCAAGGGAGAGAAAGAGAGAAAAACTTGGTGGTTTCATCTTCATGTGCAATGCAAAGACAAAACCTGATTGTTTCCACTATCGTGTCATGGGTGTTTCAGCTGGTAAAAAAGATGTCATTTTAGATATTAAGCCTGGGACTAAGCTTTTTCTTTATGATTTTGATCTGAAGCTATTGTATGGGATTTACAAAGCTTCATCTTCTGGTGGTATGAAACTTGAACCCCGTGCTTTTGGTGGTAACTTTCCTGCTCAGGTTACTTCCTCTCATTTATTTTCCTACCTAATTTGTCCTGAAGTTTCCTTGTTTATTATGATTTATGTGCTGATGGTGCAACCTTCAGGTGCGGTTCAATATTGCTTCTGATTGTTTCCCGATACCTGAGAGCATTTTCAAAAAGGCCATCAAGGAAAATTACAATGAAAAGAACAAGTTCAAAACAGAACTTACTGTTAGACAAGTGAGAATCAAATGTTGCTTCTGGTCTTCTATTTGATAGTTTCTTTGATTCTTAATCATAGATGATATTCAAATGTCCTGTTTCAGGTCAGGAAGCTTACTGAACTTTTCCGACCAGTGGATATTCGTTCAGCCAGAGAGCCTATCCGGTCCCCTCCAAAAGCAATAATTCGAGATAGGGATGATGTTAGGGAATCATGGCCCCATTTGCCTAGGGAAAGAACTGCTGGAGATCCTTACACCATTAGTCATGTGAAAGGCTACAATGTGCTGCCTCATGAAAGGGATGAGGAAACTCCTCGTGATTTATTTCTTACTGAGAAGAGTTATCGAGCTTATGGTCTCCGAGGAGATAGAAGAAATGTGACTCCAGCTTCTCAAGTTAATCCTATAATGGAACCGTACCCTATAATGGATCCTTACGAGAGAGATCATGAAAGAGAGCACCTTCATCACATGGACCCTATCTACAGGAAGAATCTCCCTGCACATTTAGAAAGTCATCGTGCTGATCCCCTTCGTTTGAGCGAGAGGGAACATAATACCTATTTTCGTGGTGCAATTTCTGAACATGTAGAGGATCCTTATCATGCCTATCGCCATGGCGCTTCACCAAGGGATCCATATTTGCCACCTTTAAATAGAGAGGAAAGGAGAGAGACTGTTCAAGATAGGCTTTACTCAACATATTCTGCTGCTGATGCTTTGTCTGAATATAATAGGATGCAGCACTACCATGGAGATAGGTTGGAACCTGCAGCTGCACCAGTTTCATCTCGTTATTCTTTTGCTGGTCCATCGTATTCGCTTCGCTAAAATAAACGTGCAGTCTGATTCCCCCGTATGTCTTGTGTTCCTTAAGATCATCTTAAGTTCTGGTGACTGACTGACATTTAAAAACTGTATGCATGAATCCTTATACTTTCTTTTAGGCACATCTGGGGAAGCATTTTTACATTGTGTCTGAGATTTGAATGCTGTAAAATGTGCAAAGTGCCATTGATAATGACCATTTACCATGCAGGGCACTAACTAGCTTTGGAACTTTTCAAATTTGTGGTTTATAGCTAGTTGGAATATGCTTATTTAATGGATACCAAAATAGACTAGCAACTTTCAATTGATTCAGCTACTAAGGTTGTCATGTTATCTAGGCTGATAATTTTTTTATGATCTGTTTAGACCCGGTTGAGCTGTAGTTCATTTTGATCTTAAATGTCAGGATATCCTGTATGATTTTCAGTGTTTTTATGATTTTAATCTATTTTACTAATATTTTTAAAACCGGAATGGTGAACCGGTAAAGAAAGAGGTATATGATTTAAAGTTTTTAATCAGATATTTTAATGATTGTGATAATCCTTATTATGTTTGAACTTCTTGGCCCAGTACATGACCTTTAAAATGGGTGTAATCATCTTACTTTAGTATGGGTTCTATCATCCTCTTACGAATCTTAAGATCACCGTTTCAAAAGCTAATTCAAAGAGTGACAGTGTTCAAGGTTTCATAAATTCTATATTAGTTGTATAGGCAACCAATGTGAGACTTGTAACATTGTCATCCTCTTTAAGGGCTGACGTCCACGGTGACTTTCACTCAATCGACACTGACCTGACAGTAGCCCTTTTCTACCTTTGGGATGATTTCACTTACCTATCAGTATTCAGTGTCCAAAGACACCTTAATCCAGCCTATAGGTAGTCCTTTTCGTGGCTTCAACTCTCAATGAAAGCACCAATTGTTACGGACTTTAAGGTCATCACCCCAAAAGCTAGCTTAAAGAGTGGGAGTGCCCAAGGGCTTATAAATCCGACATTAGTTGTATAAGCAACCAATGTGGTACTTGTAACATTAAATTGTTACGGACCTTGAGGTCATCAACTCAAAAGCTAGCTCAAAGGGTGAGAGTACCCAATGCTTTATAAACCCCACATTAGTTGTATAGGCAGCCAATGTGGGACTTGTAACATCGCCACCCCTTTTAATGGCCGACGCCCACGACGGTTTTCACTCTATTGACACTGACCCGAAGGTAGCTTCCCCCCCGGGGTGGCTTCACCCACCCATCAATATTTAGTGCCAAAAGGCACCTTAGTCCACCACATAGGTAGCTCTTTCCGTGGCCTCAACTCTCAATAAAAACACCAATTGTTACGAACCTTAAGATTACTATCCCAAAAGTTAGCTCGAAGGGTGGGAGTGATCAAGGCCTTATAAATTCCATATTAGTTGTATAAGCAACTTATTGTTGCTCCTGGATCATCACAGAACACGTGCATTATTAGATCCTGCTCTCCTCGTAACTCTTGGCTCGCATTTTTCATATTTGCAACTGTTTATTCGAATCATTGGGCATGGTTTTTTCTGACGCGAAGAATATTCACAGAAAACTAAGTATTGTATTATTTGGTTGTGTTTGTTGTGGCGTCAGTGAGCTTATCATTAAAAAAGCACTTTCTATACTTTTTTTTTACAAAAACTAAAGCTATTTAGATTTTCAAAAAAAAAATCTGGGTTTTGAAATTTTTTGACGTCTGAGTTCTGACGTTTGCTTTATTTAGAAGGTAAAATTTTTAATTTTTTTTAAAAACTAGGTTTTTCATTTTTTTTTTGTGGCTTCTATTTTTTTAAAGCAAATATTCAAAGTAAAAAAAAGCTATTTTTTTTAAAAAAATAGCTTTTGGCTAAAAAAATTTCATATCCAAACGAGCCCTTATTCTATTGGGCCTAATACTTCTCCTTGTACTACAAAATGTCTACGTACTCTTGTCCAATTCGGAGTTGATATCACGCCATTAGGTGGTGTTTGGTTGGGAGCTTTTCAGCGGATATCTATGTTTCTCAAGTATGGTTTTTAGAAACACCATGTTTGTTTCAACGTTTTTCACCAAAAACCCATCTATCCAATTTGTCTGGATTTATGAGAAACATAGATATCCGCACTGTTTAGAAACCCAATTTGAAGGTGGGATTTTTTCGAAAAATCGGTTATCTGATTTTTAATGCACTGTTGATTTCATAAAGTTACCTAATTTTCCTAGTAAAGTTTTTCCCCACTAAACAACTTTTTTTTACATTTCTCTACCTATCTCACTTTATCTATCTTTCCAATCATTTCTCTATCTATCTCATTTCCCTACTATTCCAAAAAAATATCTTGAACCAAACACCTCCTTAGGGATGCTGACTGATGGAGACATCTATCTATCCGCATACTAGTCTTTCAGTTTTGATTGAGCTTAATATCAACAAATTGGATGAAGAAAGAGAACACCTAGAATTTAATTTAATGGAAAAAAATTCATTTATTAAATATATTTATATTTACTGAAAAGTGTTAATTTTTAAATATGAATTTATATATTAATGAAAATAACAAGAATTAGAAATACATTATACATGATAATTATTATTTTTAAAGTGAAGATTGAATTTAACTTGGGAGGTGATCATTTTATATACATTCTCAATCTTTGTTATTGCTTCCATTTATATTTAACAATTCTAATTTATTAGTTACTTAAGTTATTGGATATAAATAGATCAATGATTAAGAAAGAGTATAAGACTTGTTATTTTTATATTGATGTAAGTTGATCATGCCACATTTAATACATTAGGTATATGCTAATTTTTATTATTTAAACTAATTTATAACATATTTATATCTTATAAAATCATGTTATACATTTGTGAACTGAGAAAATATCTTATAAATTTTTTGTTTATGAAATATTTTAAAATCATGTTATACATTTGAACTGAGAAAATATCTTATAAATTTTTTGTTTTTGAAATATTTTATTTTTGAAATAATTAAATTTTCTTTTCCTTTTTTTATTAAATGAGAATAGTCAAATTTCATTTCACCATAAAATCAAATATATATATTTTTACGGGTTAGGATCATTTTACACCAGTGTAAGTTACACTCTCAATCTTAATCATTGATTTCACTTATATCTAAGGGCTCTAATTTTTTTAGTAATGTGAGCCATTAGATACAAGTGAATCAATGCTCAAGATTGAGTGTAAGACTTCTAATTCTTACACCGGTGTAAGAATATCCTGCTCCTATTTTTACATTAATCAAAGTTTTTACTATTCTCTTTCTTCATTAAATTTTACAATCATAAGTTAGTAAATTACTAATAAAATTATGTTATTTTATAAACAAGAACTTTAGTTTTTTTTTTTGTCCAAAAGAATTACTCAGAGATTATTAACTTTCACACATAGATGTGCAGGTTAGCAATTCCCCTACAATAAACAAAATAATTGAGAGCACTAACTTAGCTTCAAAGCAGTCAGAGACATACAACGTTTATCGGTTATTTATTAGATAATATGTGTGTGTGTGTTATTGATAACATTTCATGAATTATATATGCCTTTCATTTTGTATTGAAATCCAACAGGATCTTACAAATAAAAATTCATAGGATTGACCTGATTGACCAAATTGTCTTTATTTTAATAAAAAATTATCAATTTATTACACTTTTCAAATTATATATCAATTTATCTTCTTTTGATTAAAGTTGACAATGTGAGCCCGTCTTAAAATTAAACTTTTTTTGGGGTAAGCAAAATTAAACTTTATATGTAACATGAAGACATTCGCCACTCGATATATACTCATGTAAATGGAAAATTCACTAGAGTAAATAAAATAAAGGTAGGTTATATTTACAACCTTTTTTTTACAACCTCTTACAACCATATCTTAACACCGTTGATTTTCGCCAATCAACGGTTATGATTTTCGCAAATTAAACTTATTAATTAATTATTAATTCACAATAAATGATAACCGTTGATTGACAGAAATCAAACGATATTAAGATATGGTTGTAAGGGGTTGTAAAAAAAAGTTGTAAGTATAACCTTTTTCAATAAAATATATTCAAGTAAATGTCAATCATAGGATATTAAATTAACCCAATTGATCAATTTGACAATAAATTAGAAATTAATATTAAATTAGAAATTGTTATTAAATTTTTTAAGTGAAGTAATATTCAAAATCTTAAATAATTCATATAAGTCAAATACTAAATAATATTGTTAAATAAATGCAATTTGTGTGAAGTGAATAGAGTTGTGGAATAACTAAAATTTTGTGCGAACGACCAGGATTATGCACGTGACTAATGAGCAGTAACTGAGAGAAAGTGAAGGATGATATCCTCTGTTTAAAATAGTAATATAGGGACACCCCTCACTTAAAGTGTTATTGAAATAATTAAATAAAATAATAATTAAAAAAGTAAGTAATTGTTATTTATATGGTAAGAGTGGATTAAATTTTTTGGATGAATAAGAAAAAATCAATAGTTAAATTGTAATTGTTAATATTCAATTTGATATTTTTTTTTGAATTTTTACGAATTTCAAAAGATTGCATTAGACAATTGAGAATAATTTATGGTTTTAAATTTTATTCAACTTAATAAATTAATGTCAGTTTCAAATTTAATAACAATTTCCTATTTAATGCTGATTTGATTATTTTAATGCACTCTGCATGACATTTACTCAAATAAATAAGAAATCTACTCGAGTAAAAATCATGCAACAAATGGAATCATAGTATCATACCATGTGCAAAGTTCAACTTTAAGGTGGGGTCCATTGGTTAACTTTGGTCAAATGAGCTTAGATTGATATACAGTTTGGAAAATGAGATAAATTGGTAAATGTCTTTTAAAATTGGAAAATAGTTGTATTATGTTGTAAGAAATTAGTTGTGTCATGCTATAGACACAATCAATGTGGTCCCCACAACTTTTAAAATAAAAAGAAAAGAAAAAAATGGTAGGGTCTGTAACAGCCCGTTGTACACCGGTATTGTTAACATTGATTATGAGATGAAGCCCAATTACAACCACAACAATTTATTTTAAAAATACGAGTAAACTTTTTTCTATTCATCACGTAGGCATTTAAAACAATAATAAAATGTAATGATAAAAGCTATGATCATAACTGAAATCTAAATGCGGAATAATTAAAATAATTGCTTAACTATCATACTATGCTTATCTTAAGTCACTATGGGGTTTCCATAAACTCACTTAGCATAAATATCACTTTTACGATTTTTACAAAACTGAACATGGTTCAGTTATCAAGACATGTGAGAGATTTAGTGATTACAAGCCTCTCATAATTT